CTACCTGTTATATAACCACCTCTATCCACCTGTTATATTAACACCTCCATTTACCAGTTATATAACTACCTACATCCACCTCTTACATAACCACCTCCATTCACCTGTTATATAACCACCTCCCTCCATCTACCTGTGATATAACCACCTCAATCCACTTGTGATATAAACACCTCCATCTACCTGTTATATAACCATTATCTACATGTTATATAACCATTATCTACATGTTATATAACCATTATCTACATGTTATATAAACACATCTATTCACCTGTTATATAATCACCATTCACGTGTTATATAACCACATCCATTCACCTGTTATATAACCACCATTCACTTGTTATATAACCACCTCCATCCACCTGTTATATAACCATTATCTACATGTTATTTAACCACTTCTATTCACCTGTTATATAACCACCTCCATTCACTGTTATATAAACACATCCATCCACCTGTTATATAATCATCCCCACCAACACCTCACCACCTCTACACCCCTACCCCACCCACCCTCTAGCTGTCTACAGTAGCTGAGCTACCATCTCCAGCTAGTTTCGATTAGTCAAACCAATTAGTTGAATAAATCTAAAATTAGCTTCTGGCGTTAACAGCGCCCCGCAAGAAACTCAGTAACTACTGAAACTGTCATACAAATATGGAGACATGTGAGATGGTGAGGCATTGTAATTAGCCACACCTAATTAGCAAGTTAAATTAACGTTTGATTGCATGGAACGTGTGCTCTGTAACCTTTTGGTTGTGTGTAATGGTTTTGTTCTGCTTCTGCCTCAGCGCCTTTGTACTAGGGGAGGGGGGGGGGGGGGTGGGGAGGAGGGGTGGGGGAGGGTCTTTTAATGATGTTTTAGGAAACACAGAGACAACAAGTAAAGAGGTGGAGCTGGGGGGGGTGATTCTAAAGTTTTAACACTGAAAATAACGAAAGGTCATTGACTGTCTATATAAAGCTTTCTGACCACAGAGTCTGTCTTGCGAGATATTGCGGCCATTAAATGTGTATTTTACAACAGCTCACCCCCCATCCCCACACACACCATCCTACACCCTCCCCCATTTCACCTGGAGCAGACGACGAAGCAGACGATGAGATCAATGCTGGGACGATAACGACGCTTGCTCAAGACACTTCAGGAACACGGAGGGACATTTTCGCTAAGACCGGCACTTTCCGGCTAATTCCGGGTATTCCGCAGGCTTTCTGCTCACATTACCGGCTATTTTGTCTGTCGACGGGTCGAGACGTTTGGTGACCTGATTACTGGCCGGCCTTTTAGTGGCTGGACAGGCCAAAATTGGTGTTAGATGGCACGTGACCGCTGCTTCTGTCCAGCTTTTGCTGACCTCAGGGCATTTAGCTGACCTCAGGGCATTTTGTTTGAGGATATTTTGCTGACCTGAGTATAATTGGGTTGACCTAAGAGCATTTTGTACACCTCGGGACATTGTGCTGATCGCATACTCTATGGGCATTTGATTTCGACAAAATTGATAACCATTGTTAGAGTAGACCTAAAGACAAAACCCATCCTTTTTGTGATCTTCAAAACCTTCACTTTTTGATGTGCAACTAGAATCTAGTGAACATTCACTATTTTCTTACCGATGATAAACATGGTCTCACCTCCAATATGGTCTCACCTCCATTAAACGCTGTCTCACCTCCAATATGGTCCCACCGCCATTAAACACCGTCTCACCTCCAATATGGTCTCACCTCCATTAAACACCATCTCACCTCTAATACGGTCTCACCTCCATTAAACATGGCCGCCGTGAAGATCCGGTTGTACCTACAACACGAGTAGCGCGGCTCCGTGTCCGGATAATTTTGTCACTTTGATGTGTAGTCTATGAGTGATGTGTCGTGTCTGAGTGATGTGTTGTGTCCGACACACCGTTACACAAGCTAACAGAGACAGGTACGTTTTATTTAGGTGCTCCTCATTATGGTGTTTATTTTAATTAGTCATTAAGTTGTACAGTTTAGTTGGTCGTCATTAAGTTGTTCATTTTAATTGGTCATTTAGTTGCACATTTAAGTTGGTAATTAAGTTATATAATGTAATTGGTCGTCGTTCCTTTGTACATTTTAATTGGTCGTCATTGTGTTTTAAACCTTTTAACCCTATAAGTGCTGTACAAGTAAACACAAAGCAAGTTTACTAGGAACTACACATAGTTAAAGCAGGTGAAGTAGAGTTAATTGTTTGTATAATCTTTAAAAGAATTCACATTGGTTTAGGTTTACACTAGCGTTATATTATTTGTGCTCTGTGTTATACAATCCAAACATTTAAAACAAAACAACAAAAAAGTTAATTATAGACCTGGGCCAGAATTCCCACTGATTGCTAATTAACGCCACAAGTCTCTCATTAATATACAAGCACCCGGATGTGGCTAATTAAACCTTATTAATATTCATACAGAACATTTCTCTGTTGATAAAGTATTTCACTGGCAATTATGTGGCGGGGATATACATAACTATATGTGTTGGGGATATACATAACAATATGTGTTGGGGATATACATAACAATATGTGTTGGGGATATACATAACAATGTGCTTTATGTATTGTAACTGCGAGTTTTGCTTAAGGGACGGGCAGAGGGCATTGATCATTCACAGATGCGAGGGGTGGGTAGGGGGGGGGGGGACTGACTACCTAGGTTTTACCTATCGTCCTTTCATATAGTGGAAGAATATATATATATATATATATATATATATATATATATATATATATATATATATATATATATATATATATATATATATATATATATATATATATATATATATATATATATATATATATATATATATATATATATATATATATATAATATGCATAGCTATGTATGTGAATTTTTACCCAAAATAGAAAACAACAAATCTATTCTCCGTGTGGGTAGATTGCGAACCAAAGATGGCTCCCCAGGACCCTTTCATTGATTGGCTATCCTGGCCCTGAACCTTGATTCTAAAAATAGCCGAGACGATGAGCCCATATTCCCACTCGTGCTTATATAGTCGCATAAATTATCGTCACTGGAGTATTCGGTCGACAGATTTTTAGGAAGAATTCTTCATGAAAACTTCTTTAGGCAGAATTTCTTAGGCCTTCTTCTTTAGCGGAATTCTGTAAGAAGACTTCTGTAGACAGACTTTTGTATGGAGACTTATGTTAGCAGATATTTGTGGGCAGACAAACTTCTGTAGACAGACTATTGTAGACAGACTTTTGTGTAGAGACGTTCATGGAGAGTAGCATATAATGACCAGTAGCGGTTAGCTGCGAGCTGTGACGTAATCACCACCTGCAGAAGACCGTGCTTAATTAGGACATGACATGCATTGACATGCCGACCTAGCTTGATAGCCATCTTATACAGGTGTGTCTTGGCCATCTTATACAGGTATGTCGTGGCCATTTTATACAGGTGTGTCTTGGCCATCTTATACAAGTGTGTAGTGGCCATCTTATACCAGTGTGTCTTGGCCATCTTATACAGGTGTGTCTTGGCCATCTTATACAGGTGTGTCTTGGCCATCTTATACAAGTGTGTAGTGGCCATCTTATACCAGTGTGTCTTGGCCATCTTATACAGGTGTGTCTTGGCCATCTTATACAAGTGTGTAGTGGCCATCTTATACAGGTGTGTCTTGGCCATCTTATACATGTGTGTAGTGGCCATCTTATACCAGTTTGTCTTGGCCATCTTATACCAGTGTGTCTTGGCCATCTTATACAGGTGTGTCGTGGCCATCTTATACAGGTGTGTAGTGGCCATCTTATACAGGTGTGTCATGGCCATCTTATACATGTGTGTAGTGGCCATCTTATACCAGTTTGTCTTGGCCATCTTATACCAGTGTGTCTTGGCCATCTTATACAGGTGTGTCGTGGCCATCTTATACAGGTGTGTAGTGGCCATCTTATACCAGTTTGTCTTGGCCATCTTATACATGTGTGTAGTTGCCATCTTATACCAGTGTGTCTTGGCCATCTTATACATGTGTGTAGTGGCCATCTTATACCAGTTTGTCTTGGCCATCTTATACATGTGTGTAGTGGCCATCAGACAGGAGTGTCAAGTTGAGGCCATCCGATGTGTGTGTGTGGTAAAGATACCACATTTACACAGCTGTAAACATGTGTACAGAGAAATTTTGTAAATAGTGTGAGTGGTGTAAATAGTGTGGTTGACGTAAATATCGTGGTTGATGTAAATAGTGCGGTTGGTGTGAACAGCGTGGTTGACGAGTAAATATCGAATGTAGTTAACTGAACAACTGTCAAAATTTAAACGAGCCAGTGAACACCGTCTCCTTATTATTTGTCAAAAACGACCTCAAAATTTAATTGCGGAACCTTTCGTTATATGAAACATACAACATGCTCAGAAGGACTGCAGTTTTAAAGGTTGAATTTCTACATTTTCAGCACCTTCCAATAAACACAACTAGTCGAAGTGTAAGTGTGCATATGTTGGCGTGATGCAGTACAATGGTACATCGGTTCTTTGTAAAACTATTAACTGCAACACGATCTTTCCTCACTAACCTGGCACATATGCACTGTAACTACCAACTCAGTATACTGAAAGTAAACACCTTTATTTTACAAGACTTTCTTTCATTGAATATGAGGTGGGGGGTGAAGGGGGGCGGGGGTGGGGGGGGGGGGGAGAGATTTCATGAAGGCATTTTTTTTTAAAGTCACTGTTAATTAAAATTAATTGTTTATTAAGATAATGATGTCACCATTTTTTGTTCTGTTTACGGAAAACAACTGAAGAAGTTAAATATCTCTGCTAAAAATAGAAGCATGTTTATTTGCCCACGTGTGACAAAGCCTCCCCTCCAACTGAAAGCAAACTTTGTCCGCTTCCCTCTGATGTTCTAGATCTTTCTCTCAGATTTGCTGCCATACGTTTTAACGGTGCGTCTCGTCTCGTTGCAGATTAAAAAGCTTTACCCAGAAGCCAACCTCAAACTTCCGGGCAAGAAAATCTTCGGTAACCTTGACCCCGAGTTCATCCAGCAGCGGCGAGAGGGTCTGGACGAGTTCATTCGGAAGTTGGTGTCACACCCCAAACTATGTCAGCAGTAAGTAGGTCAAGCTAAACTATGTCAGTAGATAGTAGGTCAAGTCTTACTATGTCAGCAGTAAGTAGGTAAAGCTAAACTATATCAGTAGATTGTAGGTCAAGTCTAACTATGTCAGCAGTAAGTAGGTCAAGCTAAACTATGTCAGTAGATAGTAGGTCAAGTCTAACTATGTCAGCAGTAAGTAGGTAAAGCTAAACTATATCAGTAGATTGTAGGTCAAGTCTAACTATGTCAGCAGTAAGTAGGTCAAGCTAAACTATGTCAGTAGATAGTAGGTCAAGTCTAACTATATCAGCAGTAAGTAGGTAAAGCTAAACTATATCAGTAGATTGTAGGTCAAGTCTAACTATGTCAGCAGTAAGTAGGTCAAGCTAAACTATGTCAGTAGATAGTAGGTCAAGTCTAACTATATCAGCAGTAAGTAGGTCAAGCTAAACTATATCAGTAGATTGTAGGTCAAGTCTAACTATGTCAGCAGTAAGTAGGTCAAGCTAAACTATGTCAGTAGTTAGTAGGTCGAGTCTATGTCAGTAGTTAGTAGGTCGAGTCTAAGTATGTCAACAGTTAGTAGGCCAACCAAACTATGTCAGCAGTAAGTAGGTCAAGCTAAACTGTCAGTAGTCAGTAGGTCAAGTCTAACTACGACAGCAGTATAAAAGGCTGTCACACCCCAAACTATGCATACAACACAGACAAGTACACTTAGGGGTGGGGAGGGAAAATCGAACGGGGGTGAAGGCTGTGTATGACGTCAAACTGACATGTTTAAATTAGTTTTAGTCTGGGTCGGCTGCTTAAGAGGTCTGGGGCTGTTCACGTGAATTATGGGATGTCAGATCTCATCTTCACGTGAATTATGGGATGTCAGATCTCATCTTCACGTGAATTATGGGATGTCAGATCTCATCTTCACGTGAATTATGGGATGTCAGATCTCATCTTCACGTGAATTATGGGATGTCAGATCTCATCTTCACGTGAATTATGGGATGTCAGATCTCATCTTCACGTGAATTATGGGATGTCAGATCTCATCTTCACGTGAATTATGGGATGTCAGATCTCATCTTCACGTGAATTATGGGATGTCAGATCTCATCTTCACGTGAATTATGGGATGTCAGATCTCATCTTCACGTGAATTATGGGATGTCAGATCTCATCTTCACGTGAATTATGGGATGTCAGATCTCATCTTCACGTGAATTATGGGATGTCAGATCTCATCTTCACGTGAATTATGGGATGTCAGATCTCATCTTCACGTGAATTATGGGATGTCAGATCTCATCTTCACGTGAATTATGGGATGTCAGATCTCATCTTCACGTGAATTATGGGATGTAGGATATCATCTTCACGTGAATTATGGGATGTCAGATCTCATCTTCACGTGAATTATGGGATGTCAGATCTCATCTTCACGTGAATTATGGGATGTCAGATCTCATCTTCACGTGAATTATGGGATGTCAGATCTCATCTTCACGTGAATTATGGGATGTCAGATCTCATCTTCACGTGAATTATGGGATGTCAGATCTCATCTTCACGTGAATTATGGGATGTCAGATCTCATCTTCACGTGAATTATGGGATGTAGGATATCATCTTCACGTGAATTATGGGATGTCAGATCTCATCTTCACGTGAATTATGGGATGTCAGATCTCATCTTCACGTGAATTATGTGATGTCACGTCTCCCCATCACGTGAATTATGGGATGTCAGATCTCATCTTCACGTGAATTATGTGATGTCACGTCTCCCCATCACGTGAATTATGGGATGTCAGGTCTCCAGATACCATCTTCACGTGAATTATGGTATGTCACGTACACCTTCACAAACTTCAGTTGTTGCTTGCATATTGTTTCACGTATAGATGTGAAGAGAGAGCGAGAGAGAGGGGAGGGTTTGTATCAGATGTGTGTGGTTGAGTATGTTTTGAAAGGATTTCATCTTGCTAGGGGTTCATTCATTTACATGCCTAATCTAACGCTGGCCTTTTATTTTCCTCTCTATTACTGTCTGTGCTCTATATTACTCTCGGTGGAGGGGGGGGGGAGGGCAAGTGTATATTTCTGTGTATAAATTAGTTCGTGTGGCTAAATTTAGCTGTATCAGCTAGACTAGGATGTGGTGGTTAAATCAAGTAATGGATGCCATGTTATGCTGGCTACTTGGTGTTCTTTCGGCTAAATTGTTCTGGCTAGTATAGACTTTAAGGATTTTGTAAAATAAGGTGTTTTTTTTTTAATCTAGTGTCTTCCTTTTGCTGTCAACTGTTACGTAATTCTAAAAAAATTGCCCACTCCAATACCTTTATGTAATATTTATTATCACCTGATGTAAAAACGTCATCACCATCAGCCCAATCAAGCAACAGCTACTCAAATGCTAATTAATTAAAACTAGTTCAAGCCTGGCGTCACCCTACATTACCCTGCTCGCTCGCTGTCGCTGTCAGCCTCGTCCCAGTTCATTAGAATAGCATCTATCTAGGTTTGACCTTTCACCTGTACCCATCATGCATCTATCTAGGCTTGACCTTTCACCTATACCCATCATGCATCTATCTAGGTTTGACCTTTCACCTGTACCCATCATGCATCTATCTAGGCTTGACCTTTCACCTATACCCATCATGCATCTATCTAGGTTTGACCTTTCACCTGTACCCATCATGCATCTATCTAGGTTTGACCTTTCACCTGTACCCATCATGCATCTATCTAGGCTTGACCTTTCACCTGTACCCATCATGCATCTATCTAGGCTTGACCTTTCACCTGTACCCATCATGCATCTATCTAGGCTTGACCTTTCACCTATACCCATCATGCATCTATCTAGGCTTGACCTTTCACCTGTACCCATCATGCTTCTATCTAGGCTTGACCTTTCACCTATACCCATCATGCATCTATCTAGGCTTGACCTTTCACCTGTACCCATCATGCATCTATCTAGGCTTGACCTTTCACCTGTACCCATCATGCATCTATCTAGGCTTGACCTTTCACCTGTACCCATCATGCATCTATCTAGGCTTGACCTTTCACCTGTACCCATCATGCATCTATCTAGGCTTGACCTTTCACCTATACCCATCATGCATCTATCTAGGCTTGACCTTTCACCTGTACCCATCATGCATCACCCCATTGAGACTACCTGTCATATCCTACATGTCACCTCGTCCGTCAACGATGGCCGCTGTGTCTGGGCCGTCGCTTTCAAAAATTTGGAATTTAAAAAAAAATATTTTACGCCAGTGGCGCTAATATCACCATAGTTAACTTCAGTCCTATTACAATAGGGCTGGTAAGTAGGTCATCAACCAGTTCTATGGCTCATACAGGTTTTATTGAGCCGTAGAACTGGTTGGTGACCTACTTACCAGCTCTGTTAGCGTTTCGGCAAACGGTCTTCATCAGCACACAGTAGTACGCTGTAGTTATCCCCAAGTTTGTAATGGCTAACACTACTTGATCTTAGTACTTAGGCCTACTAAATTACCCTCGATAAGGCTACTATTTTCATAATTGACCTATTGAAACAGTAAAAAACAATACAATCTAATTCATTATATTTATAGTTACTGTTGTATGTGGCACTTGGCCAGGATTAACCCGCTATACCCTGGAGAAATAGACTTCAGTCTGTTACTGGTCATACAGTTTAAATTCCGATTGAAAGAAATATTTCCGAATCTGTCGTTAAGTTAATTTTCAGGCATGGGGATTATCTTCTTTGTACCCCGTCATCTAAGGGATTGTGTACCCGATTTAGAAAAGTTTGTGGAGATTTAAAACCAGACCTGGGATGACGTCACGGATTGGGATGGTCACTGTGACAACACGTGTCCCGGGCAGCACGTTTTGCCACACACCTCATACAACACACGTGTTTCCATGGCTACACACGTGTTTCTTTGAGAAACCAGATTGAAGTGCTGCCCTAGGCTAATCGCGTCCTACTCTCTACCTCATATGTGCTACTGTCACACAGAAATCGAATTTATATAGAAAATATATACTTTTAAAAGTGACCGCCATCCGGAAATTTTTTGTCCGCTCCCCGAAAATTTCAAGCCCCCCCCCCCCCCCCCCCCCCCCACTTCCGGAGAAAAAAGTCTGGAAGAAACACTGCTGTCACAACAAAGCGTCCTACTCTTTACCCCATCTGTGCTACTATAACAAAGTGAACCAGTCCCTAGCAGTCTTGTATCATGAGTTGATTCTGTTGTAGCCTACCCAGCAAAGTGTGAGACCCACTGTGATCAGGCTTATATCTCAGTGCGAGTGGTAAGTTATGCAAACTAAAGCTTGCCTCCAGGCTGAGAGAGGAACAGATTTGTCCAAATTTAAAGTGTGAGGTGATGTGGTTTAGGTGGTGTATGTAGTGGTGGAGGTGGTGGGGGTGAAGGCAGACATGAGACTTTTTAGATGGACGTTTTAGTGTTGAAGGGAGGGAGGGTAAGAGATTAACATTGCTGACAGTATCGATGGAGTGGATGTAAGGGGGAGGGGGGGGGGTCGGACGATGTTCTCTGAGGGGAGGGCATATATCTTATACAAGTTGGAGGGGAGGGCATATATATAACACAAGTTGGAGGGGAGGGGGCATTAGATTTGATACTACTCACAAGAGTAAAGTTGAGGGGGGGTGTCTATATATCTAGCGCTAGTGACAAGATGACCTACGAGGTTTGCTGATGATTCATCTTGACGTGTCAGTCTGGACGAGACGGCTGGTCTGGACTTACAGCTAAGGTCACGGCCTCTCAAGACGTCTTTTTACGTCTCTTGTCTTCAAGACATCATTTTTAGTCTCTTGTCCTTAAGACGTCACTTTTTACGTCTCTTGTCCTTAAGACGTCACTTTGTACGTCTGTTGTCTTCAAGACGTCCTATTGTTCTCACGGCTAAAGTTCTAGACATTATTTCCCCCGTCCCACCCCCCCCCCCCCCCCACCCGGGTCCTAATTTCT